CTGGTTTATTTATGAGACTGAGAACGCCATTTGTCTTTCTCTTTTCTTTTACACTTTGCTGCCGCAGGGAAATATTTGACTAGGCTTTGACCTGTAGCGAGATTGATTGTCGCTACCCGTTAGCTACCTGCAATTTTTTTTTTTCCTGGCTCTTTTCCATACTTCTTCCTGATTAAACATTAGCCTTCCAGAGAGAAACCATCCAGGGAATTCAAAACTTGAGGTCAGAACTCATGTTTGTGTCGAGAAAAAAAATTAAAGAGCTCCAGGGTAGATTTCCCTTGAATTGCGACGTTTTCTGGTAGCATCTTCATTTCAATTTTGGTGACTTAAACCAGAGCTAGTGAAAGAAGTCAACTGATTTCCATTTGCTGGTACAGTAGAGGCCAAAATTGTGGAAACCTTTTTTGGGAAAAGTGTATTTTTGAGGTTTGATGGCTAATATCATCACTTTTTTTTTTTGGAGTTTCAAGATAATCCTATTCCACTGCTGGAATGGCCTGGGAATAGCCCAATAACTTTAACCCCATTGAAAATCGATGGAGCCGACTAAAGAAACTTGTTAGTCAGAAGCTTCCCAGCAATAAAACCCAGTTAATAGAAGCCATCATTCCATCTTGGTTTCACGTTATAATGGCTGCAGAACTCAAAGACTTCAGCTCAAAGCTGAATGGAGCACGACCGAATAACCCCCTGATCTACACCTAGAGAAGAGGCATCAGAATGGCAAGCTTTGTTAGCTGGTGCCAAATCCTCTTACCCTGAACAATTTTACCAGGAGTCGACACAAAATTTAGATGGGGCCACCCCTCCTTTTAGAGAAGGCCAATTTCGTGCGCGACGACATCTCAAGCCATTGCAACAACTTCCCTTTGTATAAATCAAATTTCCTGAGGAGCTACAAAAAAAAAAAAGCGTTATTGCTTAACGCATTGTAAGCCGCCCTGAGTTTCCAGAGAAAAGGTGGCATATAAATCGAACCAAGAAAGAAAGAAAGAAAGAGAGAGGGAGGGAGAGAGAGGGAGGGAGAGTGAGAGAGAGAGAGTGGGAGGGAGGGAGGGGGAGAGAGAGAGAGAGAGGGAGGGAGGGAGAGAGAGGGAGGGAGGGAGGGAGAGAGAGAGGGAGGGGGAGAGAGAGAGAGAAAGAAAGAAAGAGAAAGAAAGGAAGGAAGAAAGAAGAAAGAAAGAAAGAAAGAAAAAGAAAAAGAAAAAGAGAGAGAGAAAGAAAAAAGGAAGGAAAAAAGAAAGAAGAGAAAGAAGAGAAAGAGAGAAAGAAAGAAAGAAAGAGAGGGAGGGAGAGAGAGAGAGGGAGGGGGAGAGAGAGAGAAAGAAAGAAAGAGAAAAGAAGAAGAAAAAGAGAAAGAAAGAGAGAGAGAGAAAGAAAAAAAGAAGGAAGGAAGGAAGGAAGGAAGAAAGAAAGATCCCCTCTCCATCATAACCTGGAATATAGCGGGTTGGACTGTTCCATCAAAAGACCAACTTTTTTTTTGACTATATATATCACTCCCCTTGCCGTCTTACCTGTTTTCTAGCTCTGTCTCCCTAATCCTAACCAGAGGAAATGGCGGGGACCATCTGCGCATGAGGTTAAATATTTTCAGGGAGGGCTTATTTTCGGGGAAGGCTTATCTTTGGGGGAAAGCTTATTTTCGAGGAAACACGGTACAATAAAATAAATCTGGCTTGCTAAAAACCGGGGAAAATTAAGAGAGGCTCTCAAAAGGACTTTGCGAAGCACATCTGGATGGTGGGTTGGGCCCTGACTGTTGCTGGTCTCCACCGTGAGAGTTTTAATGTTTGATTTGTGCCCAGTTCTCGGAGCATCTGACCGTTGGTGCGTAATGCAGAGGCCGCGTTCCCCGTGTCTAAAAGTAATTGAACTGTGTCACAATGCTACTTATCCTATTGACAGTTCCCCCGTTAATGGGTGTCACTTAGGTTAAAGCACCTCGCTCAGAGCTCTGCTTTCTCACTTTCACCCTCTAATTCCTCGGGTTGGAACCGAGGTTTGAAAGAAATCCATAATTGCGATGCATTATGAACGCCGAGGCTGGCGGCTCTCTTGGCGTTACCCAACGCTTTGGGGGTGAGCGGACGCATTTTGTATTTTGGAGAGCATGTTATTCTTGCAAAACAAAGTCCAGGGCCGCAGGGGCGATTTCTAGATTCCTAGGTCTCCCGGGAAGCAAAATTTCGTAGATTTTTCTGGTTTTCTAAGAAAGCTGAGGTACAAAGCCCTTGAAAATCCAAAGTGAGTTTTTGCAGCGTGACACGTTAACCTTCTTGTTCGTTCTTTTAGTTATTCTCCAAAAGATCTTTCAACATCAAAATAGGTAAAGGTAAAGGTTCCCCTCGCATATATGTGCTAGTCGTTCCCGACTCTAGGGGGCGATGCTCATCTCCGTTTCAAAGCCGATGTGACAGAGATCTTGGAGAATCTCCTTCCCTATTGATTTATTTTTTTAAAGGTCTCTCTTTCTTTTAACGATTACGAAAAAAGATTTGATCGTGAGCGTCTTCCAGATGTCCGTAGCCATGATAGAAAGTCCTATTTTTGAATTTTAGTGCTTTATTAATTTCAAGAGGGACCCAAGGACGAACTACACATTACACTCGGGTGTCAGGAGAACCAAGATGCTTTTAAAAATAAAGGTTCCCCTTGGACATCTGTGCTAGTCGTTCCCAACTCTAGGGGGCGGTGCTCACCTCCGTTTCAAAGCCGAAGAGCCAGCGTTGTTCGAAGACGTCTCCGTGGTCGTGTGGCCGGCATGACTCAACGCCAAAGGCGCACGGAACGCGGTTACCTTCCCACCAAAGGGGGTCCCTATTTTTCTACTTGCGTTTTTTACGGGTTTTCAAACTGCTAGGTTGGCAGAAGCTGAGACAAGTCACGGGAGCTCACCCCGTTACGCGGCACTGGGGATTCGAACCGCTGAACTGCCGACTTTTCAATCGACAAGCTTAGCGTCTTAGCCACTGAGCCACCGCGTCTCTATAACATCAAAATAGGTAGGGTAGCTGGAGAATGTGCTGAGGAATACCGATTGAGAGTCTCATTGTAAAATCACGGTTAATCTGTCAGCCGGAAAGAGAGTCAGGAAATGCAATTGTAGGGAGCACAAAATACAACCAACAGCAGGAATATATAAGCAAGCCGCGCGCTCATAAATAATATTAAGGCCCGGATACGTCTTGAAACGTTTCACCTCACTCTGCTGGAGATGTCAAAATCCCTCTTGACTTGCAGAAGTCGAATCACGCTCTGCTTGAGCGACTTGGCTCGAATAAAATTTAGGGCAGAATTTGCTGGGGTGAAACGGAAGGGTTTTGCAGACCTTCGAAAAAGCCGAGGCGATTGATTGCAAAACGCTTCACGCTTTGCAAAAAAAGAAGTTTCCTTCTGAACTTGCGGGGCGGTTAGCCGGATAATGAGAAGATGGGCGAGGGAACTGCGAGAGGTCAGACGTCCCTCAATACATCTCCGACTTAAACGGGGCATCTCTCTCTGTTCCTGCTCAAGTTTTTCTGCCTTGATTTGTTCCTAAATATTACAGTCCCGTCTGCATGAACGAACGTGGCTTATTTTCAAGAAAACAGAATTACGAAACGGTGGTTTAGGGTGTCTCGTGGAAACTCGGCCACAATCACCCTGTCCCGACTCTCAAGGTTCCCAAAAGATGTAGCCCAGTTCCCAAAAGTTTGCGCCGTACAATCAGGACGCCGTGCAAATGAACGATGTGCTTTCTCGGCAGAGAAGGCTGCGCTGTGATGCCACGTCGGGTGCTGTTTTGTCACGACTCCCTTCAGCAGCACATCTGTCATGCTATTTAGCGGCACGTTGCTTGGAAAGATGGCCTGTTCTTCCTACAGCTCAGACACACACACACACACACACACGGATTCCAGATGTTAGGAATGGAGGAGAGAAGGGTGGCAAAAGTGTTTGCAGAGTTGCTGTGGGTGCCCTCGGGAGAGAGAAATGCCGTAAAAATTTCAAGAGAGCGAGCAGAGCAGGGTTTTCCTAAGGCAATTCAGACGGGAGGTTTTTAATGGACTGTGAGAACAACCTTGGCAGACAGGAGGAAGACCTGCAGCCAAGGTGATGGCCAGAGAAGAGGCAGAGGAGCCCTCAGAAGGAAAAGGGGCGTGGGAAGCATCTCAGAAAAGACTCTTTGTTAGAGTCCCTGCAAAGTAACGAAAGAGAGAAATCCTTCCAAGACTTGCAAGATTCGGTTATTATAACCTTACGGTGAAGGTAAAGTTAGTATTTTACGGTTTTGTTTCCTCGTCTCGACTACTTGGAAGAGTTTGATAACAGCTTTTTTTTTTTTTCTTCCTTTCCCCCAAATATCTCAAGAACGTTGAAGTCAATTTTGGGGTGCCTGTTTAAAGCGTGTGGGTCTTTTACTCAATGGGGCAGACTTCTCCCGGAGCAAAAGATGTTGGAATGGAGGGGAGAGGAGGAGAAACCAGGTTTTGGATGGCGATTGGGTGCATTTCGGGCTCAGGGCTGGTTTTTGCTTCGTGCTTGACCAGGTGTTGAAAAGGGATCAAGCATCGGGAATTGTGCTCTTTGCTTTCCTTCCCCAACCAAATAACCTCTTCCAGAGAAAGGACTCCAATTAAGGATTCCTACACGGTTTTCGCACTTCAGAGAAGCTGTGAAATTTAATGAGGCCGCCGTATTGATATTCTTTGGAGGGGTCCTTGGTGCTCTCTGATCTTAGTTGTGTTTTTGGCAGATGTTTCATTACCCAGCTAGGGAACATCATCAGTGCTATCAGGAGTTCGGAGAGCACCAAGGACCCTTCATTTAAGATGCATTAATTCTGGGTTAAATTCAGTGGGTTAAATTCAGCCGGTTCGGTTGACCTGCGGGTGGGCGTTATGCCATCCTATTTAACCACATTTTCTAAACCCCTGCGCAATCCGCCCGTGTGAGCAAAGCGAACTTTTCCACCAATCTCTCTCTCTCTTTCTCTCTCCCCACTTTGATTGCAGGAAATGTCCGCCTTCGTTGTCGTTTAAGCGGCCTCCAGTGAAGGTCTCCTGGCTCGCCTTCCCGACCGGATCAGAAGGCTGCCGGATTTCAAAATGCTCATAAAAGAGTATCGGATTCCTCTCCCCATGAGCGTTGAGGAATATCGGATTGCCCAGCTGTACATGATCCAGGTTGGTGCCTTCGTCGCTTGGGATCGGTTGCTTTCCTAGAAACAGAATAATAATAATAATAATAATTGTCAGACGGAAAGAATCAGGGGCACACGTGACGTTCCAGTGAATCTGATTTATTGCTCATGCAAAAAAAAAAAAATTGCAGTCTGTCTGTCATCTATCTATCTATCTATCTATCTATCTATCTATCTATCTATCTATCATCTCTTTATCTCTATAGATCTATCCATCATCTATATTTATTTCTGTCTTTGTCTGTCTGTCTGTCTATCATCTATCTGTCATCTCTATCTCTTTATTTCTATATCAATCTATTCATCTATATTTCTATATCTGTCTGTCTGTCTATCTATTTATCTATCATCTCTATATCTCTTTACCTCTAAATCAATCTATTAATCATCTACTGTATATTTCTATATCTATATTATCTATCATCTATCTATCCTATCTATCTATCTATCTATCTATCTATCTATCTATCTATCTATCATCTCTATATCTCTTTATCTCTATCAATCTATCCATCTCTATATGTATTTCTATGTCTGTCTGTCTATCTGTCTATTTATCTATCTGTCATCTCTATATCTCTATATCAAACTATTCATCATCTATATTTATTTCTATATCTATCTATCTATCTATCTATCTATCTATCTATCTATATCTATCTATCTATTTCTCTCTCTAATGCAATAAAAAATTGCATGAGAGACTTGCGGAAGTATCTAGCCAACGAATCTAGTCTTAATCTGATTTATTAAGCGCCAGTTAATCTGATTTATTACTCATGCAATAAAAGAATTTCAGAAGAATCCAGTCAACTCCCGATCAGCACTAAATTGATGCTAGATAATAGTTAACGGAATTCAAGAGGGGCTGGACTTTGACTCCCTGTGGGAATGTAAGGGTTCCAGGCTAATTCCTTGCTTGACTCCGCCCCCGTCCTTCTCCTACAAAAATAATAGTAGATTCTGGGAAAGATAAGAGATGGAAGGGACCCTTAAGACCATCTGGTCCAACCCACTTGTACTGTTCAGGGAAAGCAAGGGGACCATCCTTGAGAGGTGGCCAACCGGCTTCTTTTCAAAAGACACCAGAGTTGGGATTTGAACCCATCTCCAGAAATGGGATTTGAACCCGCTGCGCTCGGAGCATGATGGCTTTTGAGTTCTGCAGAAGCTCTCTGGACGTTGGCAGGAATAATCTACTAAATCAATGGAGAAACGGCCTTAAGACCCAACTCCGTCAATCTGAAGTGGTGTAGGGTTTCCTGCCTAAGCAGGGGGTTGGACTAGAAGACCTCCAAGGTCCCTTCCAACTCTCTTATTCTATTTCTAACCTGCTTTCCCCCACCTCCCCCAAATCTTAGCTGCGGCTTCTTAGCTGCTTCCTCGCTTTCACCCAAAACTGCTTCACTTTTGAAGAAAACGGGCGGTGATTACGTCCTCTTCAAATTTAAATTAGATGTTTAAATTAAAAACAGAAAGGAGGGAGGAGGAGGTGAAAGCCCGCAAACGATGAAAAATTGAACAGCGGGCTCAAAAAACCTGTCTTTATAAAGAAGAAGAAGGGGAGAAAAAAAAACCTCACTGCATTTTAAACCTCCCTGCATTTATTCAAGAACTGTTTTTTTTTTTTTTTCAATGCTTGTCTTGCCGGAGAGAGATCAGCCTTGGCTCAGTCCGGTTTGTTCGGCTTTTAAAAATTCTACTTTATATATCCCAGCCGCTATTTTTTTTAAAAAACTATTTTGTTCCTCTCGGTTTTGCCCGTGTGTATTTCTTTCTCTGTGGTGTGTCGTGGGTTGATTTCAGCCTTTGCTCAAGGAAATTAAGTTTTGCTGGCTGCAGATAAGTATGGACTGCCGACAAGGGAGTTTCGGGATTTTAATTCTTCTCGCTTGCATCATCCTCTTTGACCCGGCGAGCTTTCCCTGTTCCTTAGGTCTCTAATGCCCACTTGGAAAAAAAGATGGAGCTGGCATTGAATGGCCCCAATTTGTCCGGGGTCAAGCCTTGGAGACAGGCGAGCTCAGGAAACGGAGACTTTAAGAAATGTGCAGCTTTATTTTATTGCTTGTAATAACAGAAACCGTGTAATAACAAAGGAGAATATTTGTAGCTCAGGATTGAAAAGAAAAGTGCTCGGTGCTCTCTGAGCTTGGTAGTTTTCTTGCAGACGTTTCGTGGCCCAAGTAGGTAACATCATCAGTGTTTGTAGGGTGTGAGGTTTGCAGGGAGGGGGAAGGAAGAGGAGGATTATTATAATTGGTGCGGTCCTTGGTGCTCTCTGAGATTGCTTGTTTTCTTGCAGACGTTTGGTGACCCAACTAGGTAACATCATCAGTGCTAGAAGGGAGAGGGGGTTTGTAGAGAGGAGGAGAAGGAAAGGGAAAGTGGAGGTGGAGATGGAGGAGGAAGAGGAGGAGGAAGATCATCACTGTGGGATCCTTGGTGCTCTCTGAGCTTGTTTGTTTTCTTGAAGACATTTCATGACCCAACTAGGTAACATTATCAGTGCTTCTAGGGAACCAGGCGGAGGAGAAGGAGGAGACAGAAAGATACTAAAGAGCATCAAGACAGGGAAACCTTCAGTTTCTTTCTCACACTTTCCTGTTTTCTGCAGCTGATCTCATGCATTGCTAACAGTCTATGCCTGTGATGGCGAACCTTTGGCACACGTGCCACAGGTGGCACGCGGAGCCATATTGGTGGGCATGCGAGTGTTGCCATAGCTCAGCTCCAGCACGCATGTGCGCACGGGCCAACTGATTTTTGGGCCTTCTGGGCCCAACGGAAGTCGGCAAATGGGCTGTTTCCGGCCTCCGGAGGGCCTCCGGGAAGGTGGGGAAGGCTGTTTTTGCCCTCCCCAGGCTCCTAAAAAGTCCCTGGAGCCTGGGGAGGGCAAAAAAAAGGCCTACCGGGCCATCACATGCCAAAAGCAGTGGGAACATGGGGGGGGGGTGTTTACGCACACATGCATGGGGGGCAGATTTTATTTTGCCCATCCATCTCTCTATCCAGAGATAGCTGCTTTTCTTGGACTAAGATGGAATGAATTATCTGGTTTGTTCTGTTTCTCCTCCAGAATTCTCCTGGGGAGGGGGCTGCCTCTCCCTTCCCCACACCAATCCCTCTCTGGGAGGGTTTTTTTCCCCCTCCCAGTCTTAGCAACCTGCCCTATAGATAATTGGCCGGTCAGGAGGATGCAGCTAACTGTTTCCATCAATTAGTATTAATTTCACATTACAGCCGTGGATTTAATGTGCTCTGGGCTTGACTGCCAACCCTTCCGATCGACAAGCTCAGCGTCTTAGCCACTGAGCCACCGTGTCCCCTCATCTTCCCCTAGATGAGACTAACTCTGGTTAATCCTCCAGGAGGTCCAACTCCTTGGACACGTCTTCTGATGGAAGGGATCGAGGAAGGAACATGCCCAAAATCTGAACTCTTGACGCATTTCACAATATTTGGAAAGCTTATTTATCCCCAGAGAAGACAAAGCAAAAGTCGCTTGAGATGGCACCATCAAGCTCCCTGCGACTTTTGCCAGTCTCTCATCTTTGCAAAAACAAAAAAAAATCCGGGAGAGATTGCTTCTTTTGGGAGCGATGATGATTCGAAAAGCTCATTCCCCTTGCTAGGCTGAACGGGGGTGTTTCCTTCACTTTGATCCAAAGCCATTGATCTTTTTGGTGCGCTCAGCTCAACCATCTGGAGAAGGCGCATTTTTCTCTTCTGCTTTGCAAAGCGGCAGGCAGGGGATATATAATTGAAACAATTCATCTTTATTTTTATTTTATTTATATTTGCAAAGACGTGACGGAGATCTTGGAGAATCTTCTTCCCTGTTTATTTATTTTTTTTAAAGTTCTCTTTTCTTTTTAATGACGACGAAAACGGATTTGATCGTGAGCGTCTTCCAGATGTACGTAGCCATGATAGAAAGTCCTATTTTTGAATTTTAGTGCTTTATTAATTTCAAGAGGGACCCAAGGACGAACTACACATTACACTCGGGTGTCAGGAGAACCAAGATGCTTTTAAAAATAAAATTTCCCCCTTGGACATCTGTGCTAGTTGTTCCTGACTCTAGGGGGCGGTGCTCATCTCCGTTTCAAAGCCGAAGAGCCAGCGCTGTCCGGAGACGTCTCCGTGGTCATGTGGCTGGCATGACTCAACGCCCAAGGCGCACGGAACGCTGTTCCCTTCTCACCAAAGGTGGTCCCTATTTTTCTACTTGCATTTTTTACCTGCTTTCGAACTGCTAGGTTGGCAGAAGCTGGGACAAGTAACGGGAGCTCAACCCCGTTACACGGCACTAGGGATTCGAACTGCTGACCTTTCGATCGGCAAGCTCAGCGTCTTAGCCACTGAGCCACCGCGTCCCTTAATAATTATAACATTTTTAATAAGAGAAAAACTTCTCGAAGGGCAGATCATCTAGTCAAGAAATGGACAGGGGGTGGGGGGAGAAATTCAATCCTCACTTCTCAGTTGTTTCTTCTGAACAAATTCTTCCATTTATTTACAAAAAAAACAACAAAAAAATCTCTGAAAAATTGTGTCTTTGGAAGATCTTCTTGCAGCAAGATAAGCAAACGTGAGGCATCAAGGAATCTGGGTTTTTTTTTTTTTTGGTTCCGAACTAGAATTTCAAGATTTATCAGCTGAACTTCAGCGCAAAATACCGGCACAAGGCAAATTTCCAGGTAGTCCTCAACTTACGACCACAATTGAGCCCAACATTTATGTTGCTAAGCGAGACATTTGTTCGGTGAGTTTTGCCCCCACGTTATGACCTTTCTTGCCACCGTTGTAAAGTGAATCACTTCAGCTGTTAAGTTTGTCATAACGGTTGTTAAGTGAATCCGGCTTTCCCCATGGACTTTGCTTGTCAGAAGGTCACAGAAGAGGATCGTGTGAGTCATAAATGTGAGTCAGTTGCCAAGTGTCTGAATTTTGATCAGGTGAACGTGGGATCGTCGTAAG